TCACATGTCATTTTTCATTCATTCCATACACGGTGGTGATAAACTACTTCTGTAGCCACAGCTGCCCTGGGCCACACTGACACATACTGTAATTCAGTTCCCTTCACCAGTTTTACCACTTCCTTTCACAAACTGTATCGTTCACATTCTGTAACAAACTGTAAAACCATCATCTGTTGCTATGGAGAGAAGTGTGTGTTGCCATGGTGACAGGTGTGTGTTGCTGTGGTGACAAGTGTGTGTTGCCGTGGTGACAAGTGTGTGTTGCTGTGGTGACAGGTGTGTGTTGCCATGGTGACAGGTGTGTGTTGCTGTGGTGACAGGTGTGTGTTGCTGTGGTGACAGGTGTGTGTTGCTGTGGTGACAGGTGTGTGTTGCCGTGGTGACAGATGTGTGATCGCCCCGGCAACCTGTCATCTCCGGTACACGCTGAGGGGATGTCGGGGCAACGGGAGGCGGAGCTTAACTCTAGGACTCTCAAAGCCGTCATTTTGACTGCTCCTTGAGAAATCCAAATCTAAAGTCTGTTCTAAAAAGGTGCAGCGTGGAGAGAACTGAAAATTAAAAGTAAATGAGACGTTTTTTTTTTGTGTTCTGCCAAAACTTTGTGGTATGAAACGTTATGATATATTCAGGCTCCGAAGTTTTAGAGCGCTCCCTGATTCCTGATCAAATGACTGGAGGATTAATCCATAGTATTATCACGTTCCAAATGTTTTGAAATCACTAGAAACATCAACACAGCTCTTTGGACGAGACGAGACGAGATAAGACCAGACCGGACCAGACCAGACCAGACCAGAATCAACTTCACAGCTTTCATGTTACACAGATATCTAGAAAACATAACATTTAATATCAATATAAGAGAAAGGCCAGAGAGAGACCAAAGAGAATGCAGAGAGAGAGACCAGAGAGAGAGACCCGAGAGAGAGACCAGAAAGAGACCAGAGAAAGACCAGAGAAGAAACCGTAGCGAGCGACCAGACGGAGAGAGGCCCGAGAGAGAGACCAGAGAGAGAGACCAGAGGAAGAGACCAGAGAGAGGCCAGAGAGAGACCAGTGAGAGACCAGTGAGAGACCAGAGAGAAACCAGAGAGAGGCCAGAGAGAGGCCAGAGAGAGACCAGAGAGAGACCAGAGAGAGACCAGAGAGAGGCCAGAGAGAGACCAGAGAGAGAGACCAGAGAGAGAGACCCGAGAGAGAGACCCGAGAGAGACCAGAGAAAGACCAGAGAAGAAAGCGTAGCGAGCGACCAGACGGAGAGAGACCAGAGAGAGAGACCAAAGAGAGAGACCAGAGAGAGAGGCCAGAGAGAGACCAGAGAGAGACCAGAGAGAGACCAGAGAGAGACCAGAGAGAGAGACCAGAGAGAGAGACCAGAGAGAGAGACCAGAGAGAGAGACCCGAGAGAGAGACCAGAGAGAGACCAGAGAAAGACCAGAGAAGAAATCGTAGCGAGCGACCAGACGGAGAGAGACCAGAGAGAGAGACCAAAGAGAGAGACCAGAGAGAGACCAGAGAGAGGCCAGAGAGAGACCAGAGAGAGACAAGAGAGAGACAAGAGAGAGACCAGAGAGAGGCCAGAGAGAGGCCAGAGAGAGACCAGAGAGAGAGACCAAAGAGAGAGACCAGAGAGAGGCCAGAGAGAGAGACCAGAGAGAGACCAGAGAGAGAGACCAAAGAGAGAGACCAGAGAGAGGCCAGAGAGAGACCAGAGAGAGACCAGAGAGAGAGACCAAAGAGAGAGACCAGAGAGAGGCCAGAGAGAGACCAGAGAGAGAGACCAAAGAGAGACCAGAGAGAGACCAGAGAGAGACCAGAGAGAGACCAGAGAGAGCGACCAGAGAGAGAGACTTACCTTAGCCTGTACCTTTGCTTAGTCTCTGTAATTGGCTCAGATTCCCGTCTCCTCGACAGCGAACCAGAACCAGAGATCTCGGAGCAAAGCGACTGATGTAGAGTTAATGAACAGCATTTTCAAAGTGCCAAACGTCTGCAGAGAAATCTCTCCCCGACTTCTGTTCGCGGCAGTCAGCGAGGAAACCGCCGAGCTTGTTAGCACCTCCTTATGTTCCGCCCGCCGTTCGTACCGTTCCAGTGTGTTTCCGCTAACAAAGCCTCAGCCCTGATTAGAACAACATCCAGATCACACGAGAGCTACCTGCCCCCCCTCACCCCCGTCCTCACCCCTCTCCCCCCAATGCACTCACACACTCTCACTTTATCAAGACACAACCAGCTTGACATAGGGTTAATTTGACTTCAGCCACCGACAGAGGTCTGTAATTTTCATCATAGGTTCACTTCAACTGTGAAAGACAGAATGTGAAAATATCCAGGAATTCACATTGTAGGATTTTTAAAGAATTTATTGTGGAAAATAAGTATTTGGTCAATAACACAAATTCAAGTCAATGGAAGGAGGTTTTGGCCCAATTCATTCTTTCCTTAACACGGATCAGTCGTCCTGTCCCCTTAGCAGAAAAACAGCCCCAAAGCATGATGTTTCCACCCCCATGCTTCACAGTAGGTATGGTGTTCTTGGGATGCAACTCTTTCTCCAAACATGCTGAGTTGAGTTTATACCAAACAGTTGTACTTTGGTTTCATCTGACCACATGACATTCTCCCAATCCTCTGCTGTATCATCCATGTGCTCTCTGGCAAACTTCAGACGGGCCTGGACATGCACTGGCTTCAGCAGGGGGACACGTCTGGCACTGCAGTGTGTTACTGATGGTAACCTTTGTTACTTTGGTCCCAGCTCTCTGCAGGTCATTCACCAGGTCCCCCCGTGTGGTTCTGGGATATTTCCTGGATATTGTTTTCACATTCTGTCTCTCACAGTTGAAGTGAACCTATGATGAAAATTACAGACCTCTGTCATTATTTGAAGTGGGAGAACTTGCACAATCGGTGGCTGACAATTTGTTTTGCCCCACTGAGACGTTGGTTCTCTCTCCGGTCTCTCTCTCTGGTCTCTCTCTGGTCTCTCTCTTTGGTCTCTCTCTCTGGTCTATCTCTCTCCAGTCTCTCTCTCTGGTCTCTCTCTGGTCTCTCTCTGGTCTCTCTCTTTGGTCTCTCTCTCTCTGGTCTATCTCTCTCTGGTCTCTCTCTCTGGTCTCCCTCCGTCTGGTCGCTCGCTACGGTTTCTTCTCTGGTCTCTCTCTGGTCTCTCTCTGGTTTCTCTCTTTGGTCTCTCTCTCTGGTCTATCTCTCTCCAGTCTCTCTCTCTGGTCTCTCTCTGGTCTCTCTCTGGTCTCTCTCTTTGGTCTCTCTCTCTGGTCTCTCTCTCTGGTCTCTCTCTCTGGTCTCTCTCCGTCTGGTCGCTCGCTACGGTTTCCTCTCTGGTCTCTCTCTGGTCTATCTCTGGATTTCTTTCTGCTTTCTCTTTCTGGTTTCTCTTTCTGGTCTCTCTTCCTGGTCTCCCTCTTTCTGGTCTCTCTGTCTTTACAATGTCTTGCGAAAGTATTCGGCCCCCTTGAACCTTTCAACATTTCGCCACATTTCAGGCTTCAAACATAAAGATATAAAAATTAAATTTTTTGTCAAGAATCAACAACAAGTGGGACACAATTGTGAAGTGGAACAAAATTTATTGGATAATTTAAACTTTTTTAACAAATAAAAAACTGAAAAGTGTGGCATGCAATATTATTCGGCCCCCTTGCGCTAATACTTTGTGGCGCCACCTTTTGCTGCAATTACAGCTGCAAGTCGCTTGGGGTATGTCTCTATCAGTTTTGCACATCGAGAGACTGGAATTCTTCCCCATTCTTCCTTACAAAACAGCTCGAGCTCAGTGAGGTTGGATGGAGAGCGTTTGTGAACAGCAGTCTTCAGCTCTTTCCACAGATTCTCGATTGGATTCAGGGATGGACTTTGACTTGGCCATTCTAACACCTGGATACGTCTATTTGTGAACCATTCCATTGTAGATTTGGCTTTATGTTTTGGATCATTGTCCTGTTGGAAGATAAATCTCCGTCCCAGGCTCAGGTCTTTTGCAGACTCCAACAGGTTTTCTTCCAGAATGGTCCTGTATGGTCCACATGCTTGGTGTGTCTCCCAGGTGGCTTGTGGCAAACTTTAAACCAGACTTTTTATGGATATCTTTGAGAAATGGCTTTCTTCTTGCCACTCTTCCATAAAGGCCAGATTTGTGCAGTGCACGACTGATTGTTGTCCTATGGACAGACTCTCTCACCTCAGCTGTAGCCCCCACGGCACTGTAGTTTCTCTCTCAGATTTCTCTCTCAGGTGTCTCTGTCTCTCTCTCTCTATTTGTATCTCTCTCTTTTTCTCTGGTCCCTCTCTTTCTGGTCTTTCTCAAGTCTCTCTTTCTAGTTCCTCTCTGGTCTCTCTCTCTCTCTCTCTCTCTCTGGTCTCTCTCCCTCTGGTTTCTCTCTTTGGCTTCTCTCTAGTCTCTCTCTGGTCTCACTCTCTCTAGTCTCTCTCTCTAGTCTCTCTCTTTCTATGGTCTTTGTCGTGTCTCTATCCTTGCTACCTCTCTCTCTGGTCATTCTCCCTAGTTTCTCTCTGGTTTTTCTCTCTGGTCTCTCCCTCTCCCTCTCTCTCTTTCTGGTTTCTCTTTTATTTCTCTCTCTGGTCTCTCTCTCTCTCTCTGGTCTTTCTCCCTAGTTTCTCTCTGGTTTCTCTCCCTGGTATCTCTCCCCCTCTCTGTTTTCTCTCCCTCTCTCTCTCTGGTATCTCTCCCCCTCTCTCTGTTCTCTCTCCCTCTCTCTCTTTAGTATCTCTCTCCCTCTCTCTGTTCTCTCTCCCTCTCTCTTTAGTATCTCTCTCCCTCTCTCTGTTCTCTCTCCCTCTCTCTCTTTAGTATCTCTCTCCCTCTCTCTGTTCTCTCTCCCTCTCTCTCCCATTGTACCCCCTGCAGAGACCTCACATTAACAATAAGATCCAAATCAAAGCCGCTCAGACCTCTCCCACTCTCTCTGTTCTCTCTCCCTCTCTCTGTTCTCTCTCCCACTCTCTCCACCTCACGTCCTCCAAACACCACCGTATCGTCCGACCACTTTCAGGCCCAATCTGCTGCTTTTTTTCTCTCTGCACAAATGGCCTCCTCCGTCTGCCGTAACACTCCAGCTCTCCGTCCAATCAGCTGTAAGTGAGTGCGGCGGCCTCTCCGAGCGTCTGCGCTGATGAGCTGTGGGCAGAGTGGCTTTGACCTTTACCTCCCGCCGTCTGCGTCGGAGCGAGAGCACGAGAGAGACCTGGCCGGACATCCCACCTCAAATTACACCGGCTTCAATTAATGAGAGAGAGAGGAATAACTAAATATAGAAAGAGCAGGATCGGAAGAAATGTCCAGGGAACGTCTTTGTGGAAGGAAGCAGTATTTGTGGATCCATCAACAGATCAGAGAATCAAACGGTTCAAACTCGGGTCTCTCTCTCTCTACGGTCTATCTCTGGTTTCTCTCTCTCTCTCTCTGTCTCTTGTCCCTCTCTCTGGTCTCTCTCTCTCTGGTCTTAGTTTTGTCTCTCCCTGGTCTCCCTCTCTCTGGTTTCTCTCTTTGTCTCTCTCTCTCTCTTTGTCTCTCTTTCTCTCTGGTCCCTCTCTTTCATCTCTCTCATTCTTGTCTCTATCTCTGGTCTGTGTCTCTGCCCTCCCCCCTTCTGATTTCTCTCTCTCTCTCTCTCTCTCTCTCTCTCTCTGGTCTTTGTCTTGGCGCGCTGCCTGGTACTGTCTTTCTGGTCTATGTCTTTCTGGTCTCTCTCTCTTCTGTCTCTCTCTCTCTCCCTGGTCTCCGTCTTTCTGGTCTCTGTCTTTCTGTCTCGCTCTCTCTCCCTGGTCTCCGTCTTTCTGGTCTCTCTAGTTTCTCTCTCTCATTTCTCTCTCCCTCTCAGGTCTCTCTCTCGGGTCTCTCTGGTCTCTCTCCCTCTAGTTTCTCTCTTGGGTTTCTCTTTTTGCCTTTGTCTGTCTCTCTCTTTCTCTCTCTCTCTTTGTTTCTCTCTCGGTCTCTGGTCCTCCTCTTTCGTCTCTCTTTCTTGTCTTTCTGGTGTCTCTCTGGTCTCTTTTTCTAGTCCCTCTCTGGTCTCGCTCTCTCTCTTGTCTCTCTGGTCTATCTCTGCTTTATTTCTCTGGTCTCTTTGTGGTTTCTCTCTCTCTCTGGTCTCTCTCTCTTTCCCTCTCTCTCTCTGGTCTCTCTCTCTTTCCCTCTCTCTATCTGGTCTCTTTCTCTGGTCACTCGCTGGTCTCAATCTCTCCCTGGTCTCACCCTCCCTCTAGTCTCTCTCTTTCTGGTCTCAATCGTACCTTTCCCCTGTTCAAACAGACATAGCTCCTGTCTTCTCCTCTCTCTGTGATCGTACGTCTCTCACGTCTCACAAACACTTTCCTTCATTAGTGCCTTCGCCGCCGGGACGTCCTGCCTCAGTCCAGGGTAATCCTTTAAGAGCTGCTGCTGCTGCTGGAGGCTGGTCTCAGATCGGCTGCGGACCACAGAGATGGAGATAATGGTGTTTGTTTAGCCATTAGCACAGGGCCTCTTTAGCCTCTTTAGCCTCTGTGCCCCGCGGCCGTCAGCTGCTCTATTACATGATGGATGAGGAAGTGTGTTTTAGAGGCTTCCAAAGGACTTAGAGCTTACGACACAGAGCTGGGAGTAAGTGGGAACTCGAGCAGCTAACGCTAAGCGCTAACAATAGTGGTAAAAGTGGCAGCAGAGAGTTTTCTGGTCTCTCTCTGGTCTCTTTCTGGTTTCTCCCTCTTTCCCCCTCTCTCTCAATCTGGCATCTCTCTCTCCTGAGTCGCTCTCTGGTCTCTTTCTCTCTTTCTGGTGTATCTCTCTGGTCTTGTTCTGGTCTCTCTCTGGTCTTTTTCTGGACTCTTGCTCTCTCTCTCTCTGGTTTCTTTCCGGCCTTTCTCTCTCTGGCCTCTTTCTGGTCTCTCCTTCTCTGTCTCTCTCTCTCTCTCTGGTCTCTCTCTCTCTGGTCTCTCTCTCTCTCTCTCTCTCTCTCTCGGTCTCTGCCTGGAGCTCAGAAAAGCACACCTCTGTCTCCCCTAAAGTTATTTCATTTATCACTTTTTTCTCTGGTGCTAATTTGTCCATTAGTTTTTTAATCTGCACACGTGACCTTTCGTTGGTGGAGAAAGGCCCGCGGCTAATCTGAGCCGTTACCTGAACGCCCAGAGTCATTAGGAAAGACTGCTGCGTTTGATGAATGAGTCGCTGTTTTTGTCCTAGTCGTGGTCGTGGTCGTGGTTGTGGTCATGGTCTTGGTCCTGGTCTTGGTCCTAGCCCTGGTCCTGGTCCTGGTCCTGTCTTAGTCGTGGTCTTGGTCTTGGTCCTGGTCTTGGTCCTGGTCTTGGTCCTAGCCCTGGTCCTGGTCCTGGTCCTGGTCTTAGTCGTGGTCCTGGATCTACAGCCTCAGTCCTGGATCTACAGCCTCAGTCCTGGATCTACAGCCCCAGTCCTGGATCTACAGCCTCAGTCCTGGATCTACAGCCTCAGTCCTGGATCTACAGCCTCAGTCCTGGATCTACAGCCTCAGTCCTGGATCTACAGCCTCAGACCTGGATCTACAGCCTCAGTCCTGGATCTACAGCCTCAGTCCTGGATCTACAGCCTCAGTCTTGGGTCTACAGCCTCAGTCCTGGGTCTACAGCCTCAGTCCTGGGTCTACAGCCTCAGTCCTGGATCTACAGCCTCAGTCCTGGATCTACAGCCTCAGTCCTGTTATTTTCTTGTGGTTTTGAGCCCCTCCTTCCTCTAGTTCTATCATTTATACTTATATATACGCTTGTCCTAACCTTGTGCTGTTGAGACATAAATGCACATGTGTTTGATTGTGTGGAAGCTAATCAGAGCTGTTGGCCCCGATATTCTTTATAGATGAGTTCATTACCGACTTAATTGGTTTGTACGTACGCCCAGAGGAGACGTGTCCCATCAGGCAGGACTCATTTTACCGTTTTATTTTTGCTTTTGCCAATCAGAGCAGAGCAACCTTTTTCTGCGGATCCGCGGCTGTGGCAGTCACCTCTCGTTGGCCCTGTCAGATTGTCCCACGTGAGGCGGAGGCGACTGTGACAGTGTGAGAATGGTTTGGACACAGAGATAAGAGGGATTAGAAAGCAGTCAGAGCAAAAGTGTGGAAAGTGCTGACAGACAAACACATGCTGAATCTGTAATCCAACTATTTCACCATTTCCACAAACATTTATAATCCCCGTTGAGAAAATCGAATTGCTTTTTTTCCCTGATTGGCATCGGACGAGGGGTTTGCAATGTGTTTCAAATCAAGATTGAGTTCAAAGTTCACGTCTTTTAAATATCTCTCTAGAGGAGAATGGAGAGGAGACTGAGAAATGAGAATCTCAGGTCTTAGGACTGAGGACTGAGGCTGTAGATCCAGGACTGAGGCTGTAGATCCAGGACTGAGGCTGTAGATCCAGGACTGAGGCTGTAGATCCAGGACTGAGGCTGTAGACCCAGGACTGAGGCTTTAGATCCAGGACTGAGGCTGTAGACCCAGGACTGAGGCTGTAGACCCAGGACTGAGGCTGTAGATCCAGGACTGAGGCTGTAGATCCAGGACTGAGGCTTTAGTTCCAGGACTGAGGCTGTAGATCCAGGACTGAGGCTGTAGACCCAGGACTGAGGCTTTAGATCCAGGACTGAGGCTGTAGACCCAGGACTGAGGCTGTAGACCCAGGACTGAGGCTGTAGATCCAGGACTGAGGCTGTAGACCCAGGACTGAGGCTGTAGATCCAGGACTGAGGCTTTAGTTCCAGGACTGAGGCTGTAGATCCAGGACTGAGGCTGTAGACCCAGGACTGAGGCTGTAGATCCAGGACTGAGGCTGTAGATCCAGGACTGAGGCTGTAGACCCAGGACTGAGGCTGTAGACCCAGGACTGAGGCTTTAGTTCCAGGACTGAGGCTGTAGATCCAGGACTGAGGCTGTAGACCCAGGACTGAGGCTTTAGATCCAGGACTGAGGCTGTAGATCCAGGACTGAGGCTGTAGATCCAGGACTGAGGCTGTAGACCCAGGACTGAGGCTGTAGACCCAGGACTGAGGCTGTAGATCCAGGACTGAGGCTGTAGATCCAGGACTGAGGCTGTAGACCCAGGACTGAGGCTTTAGATCCAGGACTGAGGCTGTAGACCCAGGACTGAGGCTGTAGATCCAGGACTGAGGCTTTAGATCCAGGACTGAGGCTGTAGATCCAGGACTGAGGCTTTAGATCCAGGACTGAGGCTGTAGACCCAGGACTGAGGCTGTAGACCCAGGACTGAGGCTGTAGACCCAGGACTGAGGCTGTAGACCCAGGACTGAGGCTACACTATTTATATCTTGCAGCTGTATCACTGTATTTCCTCTTGTCATTTTCACAGTAGGATTAATAATTGTGCTTTTAGTTAATGGACTCAATCCCCTGATTACAGCTGTGAGTGAGAGAGCAGAAAGCCTCTCCAGCTCCTCACACGCAGCTCCACAGTCAGAGGATTATGTTCCACAGAAGCACACACCCATGATAGCAAAAGGAATAATGTTGGTGTGTCTGTGTGGTGTGTGACTGTGTGAGCGTGTGGTCTCTCTGCGTGTGTGCCGTCTCTGCTTTGTGTGGCACTGTTAGCACGGTGTGGTGTCCGCTTTGTTGCGTGTCTCTCGTTGTGTGTTGAGTCTAGGTATCTGTGTGTTCGATGGTGGGACTGTGTGATCGTGTGTGTGTTTGTGTTGAGGACGTGTGGTTTTTTGTGTGACACCCAGGGGTGTAAACAGTTGCTCTAACACCTGATGGTCACATGAACGACTGAAGTGCAAAACACATCATTAAATCCACAGTAAAGGGGAGGTAACTCTAAATCAAATCCAAAAATTGCATTTTTAGAAGATAATTTTGAAAAGCAAACTCCCCCCAACCGAGCTCATCGTGATGTGTTTGTTACCATGTTGTTCATGGAAACAGTGGCTGTTTTTACAATGTGCAGGAGTGTTGTTGATTGAGATCTGAATTTTTCTAAAATCCTACATAATTCTCCCCTTTTCATTTCACTTTTATAAATTCATAAATGTTTATGTTTTAATTCAGAGGATTCCACTTTAAAAAAACAAAAACAAACGTATATGGTATAAAACATTGAAAAAGTATACATTTTCATACACAATTCTCCAACACTTTCATACTATGTTTTGACGACTGTCTAGTATTATTACAATAAATTGATTTAGTTTAACTGAAAAGATAGTGACCCTTCATTCATGCATCAAATT